GAGTATGTAGCAATTCTTAAAGCCAATTCGAAGCGTGATTTAGCAATGGTAGTGAAGGATTTCGTTGATGAACGTTCAATCGTTCGTTACTATAACCGGGCTACCGAGAGAAAGGGTCAAATGCTTTTCATTGACTCAGTCAAGGGACAATTGCGATATAATGTTGATCATCCCATTCACATCGATGACGAATTATAAATCGACATAAGTTTTGATTTTTTTGATATACATCAAGATGGCATCGTTTGTTAAGCTTGATTCGACTAATCTCGTTCAAGATGGATACAATTCCACGTGGAAGTACTCTTTCCCAGGGTCTGCAGCTGATTTCAAAGATGTTACTTGCGCTGTTCAGTCTATCTCTATGTACAACAGCGAGTATAATGTCGATTCGCTTCAATTTTTGAATAACTCATTTAAAGTAGAAGTACCAACAGCTGCTACAGCTTCTACCATCAGTATTACTCTTGCTGACGGTATTTACACCTATGCAGATATCAACCGAAGCATTCAGACTGCTCTGGTGAATGCTGGAGCCTATTTGATTGATGCATCGGGAAATAATGTGTTCTACATTCAGCTGAGTGAAAATAGTGTATATTATGCGGCACAGTTTGATTTTAGCGCAACTCCGACAAGTCTACCTGTAGGTTTCAGTCGTCCTGCTGCTGGGCTATACAGCTCTGGTGGTACGGGCTTACCTACTACAACTCGTGTACCACGTGTTATCATCGATAACGCAGCATTTGGGAAGGTTGTTGGTCTAACGACTGGAACTTACCCTGCTTCTCCTGCTACTGTAGCAAGTGCTAAGCTATCGAACATTATTCCTCAGATTCACCCAACCTCGAGCTATATCGTGCGATGTGACATCATTAAGAATGAATACGTAGCTAGCGGTGATATCCTGAGTGCATTCGACCGCGGTGATGCTTCTGTTGGCCAGCTGATTTCGTATAAACCAAGTCAGTATGCGTGGATGAACTGTCACAATGGTTCTCCTTCTTCTCTTACGATCAGTATTTATAACCAAAACGACCAAAAGGATAAGTTCCGTGATACTTCCGTATCTATCATGCTTCTACTGCGGCCAAAAAATAAACTGACTGTATCAAATTTTTTTTTGTCTGATTACAGTCTAAAACTACCCGCTTAGCACGAACCGCAGCCATTCTAGCCTTCATCTCAGCGGACCCTTTTGCAGGCCTCTTACTTTTAGGCACCCCAACACCGTAGCGTCGTCGCACTTCACCACGTACAGATTTGATTAGTGTCTCATGCTCAGGTTTTGTAGCTCTGCTTAAAAGATACGTTTCTCCAGCATCAACAGCATATGTCAGAACCCCCTTACGTTTAGCGTATGATAGAGCATTCTTTGCAGCCTTCTTGACATCAGCTGATACTGAAACGCGACCGCCCGTCCTTCCTTTCCCCTCAACGTCATCGCTATCGTGAATACCAATACCTGTCATCGATTTAATAGCTGCACGAGCAGGGATTTCCAGCCTGTGGGGCTCCGAAAGCAGTAGCTAGAGCAGGTACGGCAGCATCGGCAGCACGCGAAAGAATTCCACTGTCCTTTGCGAATTTGAAAGCCGATTTAATTCCTCGCCAAACTTTGCTCCAAATGGAACCACCTTGAGCTCGTTTGTAACCCTTCTTGACTTCGTGCTTAGTGATATCAAGTCGAACACCACTATCAGCTCTACGTGCCTTAAGGGCCTTCTCGTGCGACGCGGGGTGAAGATGAATAACGCTGCCGCTACCCTTCAGTTCGTCAGCTGTTAGACTGAGTTTACCGGTCTTGACTGCTTTAGTCAGCTTCCGCTCTTGAACATTGCTAGAAATCGTTAATTCACGATACATGCTTATATTTTCTGAAACAAATTATTCTAGAATGGTCAAATTCAGATCTTTCATCTTTTTGAATATATTGGCTGCTTTGAATATAACCAAAGAAGACAGAAAGGCCCGCAATAGTCACCGTATGTCCCTTGGTATTGCTTACTATTGTAACGTTTAATTCCGTATTTTCGTGGAGGCCCTTCGCCCATACCATCAAAATATTCTCCGTTGTAGACTGCCGTCCAATGTCCTACATCGAGATTTGGTGGCCTCAATAGAATTAAGCATGCCCCTTTCTTTGAGAGCGGTTTTGTAATCTCACTAGATTCAAAAATATCATCAAGATGAACGCCTTATTCTTCGGCGAGTCCTATAAGATCGTAATAGGCTTGATAAGGTCGGTCATAATATTTAATTTTATGAAAACTATATTGAGGGACATATAGATTCAACAATGTCTGAACCACAACTCTCCGACCAATACCTATACCAAAGCTCGCTGACAAGCGATCCGGAGATCAAAGTATCATCCGGCAAGCGCGTGCCGTTCGTTATTGATCTAAACCAGGGTTCGTACCAGAATGGTGTTATTACGATTGACGCTACGGCTCAGCTGAACGGAAGTGAGGGATTTGCTCCGCTCCGCGATGCTTACATCATGCTTCCTTACAAGGTTACTATGAAAAACGATACTACGGCTCAGACAACAGCTGCGAATCGTTTCTGTGCTACTCTAAAGTGTGGAAACTGGGACGTCATTGATTCGATGTCTTTAGAACTAAATGGCAAGACTATTGTGAGTATGGCTGACTACAAACTCTTCTGGAATAACATCCGGGCTCAAACCGGCTATAGCTCTCAGTATGTTGAGAAGCATGGAGCGGAGTCGTTCCTTTACCCCGATGCTGCTCAGTCAGTTCTATACAGTAGCGCAGTCACTTCTACTACTGGTGATGGCTATTCGAACACTACAGCATTTTCTCCTTCGTTTGCTGCGACTGGACCATCCGGTGGAGCTTCTATTGCTAGCGATGGTCTTGTAAAGCGACTGCTATCAAACCCTCCATCTGCTGGTTCTGATTTCAGCGCTTCTTGGCCTTCCCTTGGAGCTGCTGCTGCTTCTACAACCATTGCTAACCAGACCGCGCGCGTTGCCTTTGTAGCTGGAGCTGCTACTGCCAATGCAATCATAGGTACGTGGAACTACATGCTTAAGATTAAGTTAGATGATCTTCACCCAATCTTGAAGGAACTTGATCTAATGGCGAATCCCCAGATCCGTCTTTGCTTCAGAGTAGACCAAGGTGTATCAGCGGTGGCTGTTGATGCTGGTAAGGGGATGAAGCTAACTTCAACTACTCTTGCATCGGGTAATACATGTCCCGTGATGGTTGCCGCCTCAAGCACTTGTAATCCAATGGCGAGTGTACTTGCAGCTTCTGCGCGTTTCAGTATCGCGTGGGGAGCTGTTGTAGACTCACTCGATCTTACTATTGATGGTACGTACATGCCTTTCACGACTGCTCAACTTTACGTACCATTCGTTCATTTAGAGAACCCCCAGGCAATTGTCTAAAACATGTGAAGAAGGTACGTTTCAACGATTGCTACGCTCAATGGTTTTACGAACGGGCTGGCACTGGTAAACAGTCAACACAACTAAACGCAGCTTTTGATCTTCAACTATCCGCTAGTGTAAAAAATGCGAAGTATGTCATTCTGCTCCCGTTTGCTGAGCAAACAAGTAGCTTTAACTCTGCCCTCGCTCAAGAATTTCAACCTTGGACTCTACACCCTGGCTCTTCGATTCGCAACTTCAATGTCCGCATCGGTTCTACGCAGTGCTTTGATATTTCTCACGATTATGACTTTCATGAGTTCACCAACGAGGTTGCCAAGATTAGTGCAATCAACGGTGATCTGACTCTTGAACTTGTCAATGGTCTACTTGACTACCAAACTTGGTCGCCAACAAACCGTGTTCTCTTTGCTGATGTTAGTCGCTTGACGGAACGTGATGTACCACATGCCATTCAGATTCAAGGTGTTAACGCTGGTTGCCAGGGTGTTAATATGCTAGTCCTCGTAATCTGTGAGCAGGAGCTGAACTATGGTCGTCTAACAGGTGATATTTTAGATTTTACAATTGCTTAAGGTAAATATTTATTATACATTTCAGTTAATAATCTGTATTGTTATATAGATACCATGTCCACACAACTCTGCTTCGGCAAGCACAAAGGTTCAACCATCGGAGAGGTCTTTCTTAAGGATCCAGGCTATTGTCGCTGGCTCCGATCTCAGGAAATGCTTGCCAGTGCTCCTGATTCTGATATTGCAAAATTTCTACCGAGTAAGTTTGGTAATGAACCCGACGATGGATCGTATTTGCTAAATTTTGGAAAGTACAAGGGGAAGTCGCAAGTGTTTACACTTGATAAAGAATATTTACACTGGCTTCGATCGTGTATATTTTCTACGGAAAAAAGCTCCGAAGCTATGTGCTGCTATTGATGAATTACTTCAGAACTAATTGACTTAAATATATCGATCTTTGATCACTGTAAGTCCGTGTTTATCCTTTTTTATATTATTATTTTTGTTTACTCATTTTATCATTTGTCATCATCTAGCTGTATTGAATCTATTTAAGGTTCCTTCTGAAGTAACGGATGCCTCCTCACGTTCTCAGGTGGTCGAGCGGTTGCCCCGTTAGAAACTGCTCCTTGTACTTAGAAACGACTAGACCTATTCTCCTTGTTAAATTTAATTAAGAAAATAAACGGGCTGAGTTTTCGTCTGAATATTACTACTTTCATAACCATAAATCACGATGTGAAGGTTGTGCTTGAGTCATACAAATAAAGTGTACGGCAGCAAAGGTCAGTCTAGGATTCGGCATTGTTATGTTTTTTTGGTGGAGAAAAGAAAAAGCAGCTGTCATCTGCAAAAAATATCATTGGAGAAAATGCAATTAAATTTATAATTTTAACGATTGATTCTTGCAATGAAAAAAAAACTAGTAAACTCATTGCGACAATTTGCATGCTTTACAGCACTGATGTGTGACCGAACTTTTCCAACCAAGGTTATATTATTTGAATTGCTTTGGTACTGATCGCAGAGAGTGCGGGTACTTCTGCACAGATCAAGGTATCGTTTGCGAAATTTGTTGCATTGATCGTTTGTAGTGCTGCTAGAAAGTGCTACTAATCTTTAAAAACTTCAAGTGATATATTTCTATCTTTGTTGCACAGCACTCAAAAACATGACTCATGCAATGAGACCAAAGTGCTTCAAAGAAATTGTAGCAGAGTTCCTGAACTTCAACGACAACCGTGAGTATAAAGTCGGAGACAGTGTTTAGCGACCAGGAGCTGCTTAGCATCCCACCCGAGGACGATAGCAGATGGATGAACTTTGGAGCGTTTGGTGAAGCGTATCCGGGTGAGGACGCAATAACCGCCTCTGCGAAGTCGGCTAGACTCGCCTATGCTAAGAAGGTATTTTTTTCATTTATGCCTCGTGCTGCTGTTCGGTGGGACCCCGTGCGAAAGAAAGGCAGCCCCACCTGGTAGGTAAAGTCATCATATGAGACCTGGACGTCACAGTCTCCGAAACCAGAAGTATTTTTAGTATTGGTAGTCACACACCCGTTAGACGCTTGGTTGACATTTTTTATTTCTAACGGAGTCCACAAAGTGTGCGAGCTCCAGCAATTCCCAATCTGCCAAGTGTGGGGCGAGTATTGTGTTGACGCTTACTTCTTCCGTCGTGCTCACTGCCCAGACATCGTACGCGACCTCTGCAAGTGAACGAGTAGCAGACTTTCACTGTTAGGATATGAGCCCAAGATTGGAGTAAGCTTCCAGAACTTACGTGAACGCTGACGATGTCGTGGACGCTACCTTCGATGTCAGACTTGGAACTCCGTCTGCGACCGCGTCGCGACGGTTGATGGCTGTATCAACGCCTGAAGCGTCAGCAGCGGCGGAACTGGTAGGTCCGCTGGTTTAGTGGTGCTGGCGGGATTTCTTGTCCTTTCAGTCTCCACAGCCGCAGTCTGCTCCTGCGATGAGCTCACCACCTTCAACGCTCATTTTGACAGGAACTCCGGTGGGTAAATGCTTCAGCGAGATTGCACGTCTAATGGAGAACAACATCAAACGATACCATTGCCACCGCCTAACCTGGCGATGGATGCGGACAGAACCCCACCATAGATGACAGGAAGCTTTAACCTCTATCGCACTCAAGTTATGAACTATTTACATCGGTTTAATACTTGGGGTCTGGTCGATGGATCCGTACAGCGTCCGACTGTAAATGGGAAACTTCAACAACGCTACGACATGTTGGACCTCTTTGCGAAAGATGCGTTGCTTCGTGGTGCTAAAATTGAAGACGCTGAGCGTATGTGTGATCTTTCAACTGGCAAGGAAATGTGGGAAGATCTGGAAGCACACCATACAAAACATGAATTTTCTAATTACGTGTGGGTATTGAAGCATTTTTTCCACGCAACTTACACTCGTGAGCAAGCGATGCATTCTTGGCTTCAGGAGATTCACGACACACGTCAAACGTTGGCTAACCTATGATGATCTCACTATGGACGTGATTCGCATAGGAGTAGTGCAGACACACAGATATGTCGTGTGTCAGTTTTCTCGTATCATGGCTCCCGGGTCCCAACCCACTCTGCAGCAAGTCTTGAACACACTGAAGTCCGAGACCAAGATGGATGAGATCGTCCGCATTGAGGAAGAAGGAAATTTGCAGATCATGCACGTGGCTAAGAAACAGAAGACGGTTGACAAATCTAGTAAACATACAGCTAGATTAAGCCCGGTGGAGCACAATCTGGTGGAGCTAAATCCAGTGAAGAAGGAAGCAAAGCCAAATAAAAAATCTGGTCTGGTAAACGAAAGAAGGGCAAGTGCTTCTATTGTGTTAAAGAAGGCCGTCACAAATTGAGTGTCGTGAGCTCAAATTTGATCTGAAGCACGGCAATGTAGGTACTGAAAAGGCAAAGTGTGGCAGCAATTCTGGTGATAGTTCCAGAGGATATGGGGGAAACAAAGGTGGACCTCCTTAGCCGTTACCATTGGGAATGATCGGTCGTGTTGAAAGTACTTGTGATGTGTCAAGTACTGGGCCTACATTGTTGTCGACGTCTGATTCCTCTAATTCATTATTTTATATTAGACACAGCAGCTATTACGCATATCTGCAATGACGGATCACTCATGACACAGTTCCCGCACTACGTGGAGACGAGCACGCCGCATGAATGGTGGACAGGAGATGTAATAACGGACCATTTGGTATCTCAATTGACTGTATCATTCCTATCCACACAAAAACGACGTGATGAAACTGGAGAAGCGCTTCATTGCGTTCTTACTGGAGTCTGTATTGTTGTTTGATGCCTTGTTAATCTGCAAAGTGTTAATGCAATTGAAGAGCAAGGCTGGCAATGTGAGTCACGGTATCCTCAGGACGGACCTCCGAGACGGCTGTTATGAAAGGGGCCGACAGCAATAGTGTTTATCAAGAGTCGACGTTACTATCGCACTTGTGGTTTGTGTAATTCACCTCGAGTTGCTGCGTCAGTTGTGGCTGAAGTGAATCGACATTTCGGTGGCATCTTCGCTTTGGTCATGTAAATTTTGCAGCATTGCAGCAGCTTCATCGTGATCAGATGGTTTGTGGCATGAAAAAATCTCCTA